CACACACACACACACACACACACACACACACACACATATATATACTGACCGCCTTTAAAAACGCAACACTTCGTTCGCAGAGTCTGTACACGTTTGTATCAAAAGAAGAGAGATTAAAAGAAGTGTTTTCTGAAGTTTATTCATTTCCCAACAAATGTGGACCATTTTCATCACATACTTCAATAATGATTTCGATACCTTGTCCTCCTTCTTTCGGAATATCGACTCTAGACAAATTTTGCAGAAAAGCACAAATCAAAACTTAATAAAGATCTCTCACTCTTAGTAAACCATATGGCCATCATTAACATCTATAAAGACCAAAAGACGTCTCTTGCACGCACATAGCGGTTCAGCTCATCCCTTACGTGCGCTGTTAGAGACATGCCCGGTACGACCACTGGCCAGTCCATGACATTCATGTTATGATCTTCCACAAACAGTGCTATTTTGTGATATGGGCAGTGTGAGGGTAGAAGCGTCGTTTTGGATGACTGAGAAGTTCTGATTTCCCCCCGTGCCATTGCGTACAGTGAATACGGCGCTTTTGTCCCGGATTAGTTTATAGCAGTTCTTAATAAGACGTTCTTGTTTTAAGTCCCGGATAACTACTCGGCCCCTCGCATGAAGGAAGAAACATTTTTATGCACTCCTCGCATGCCTTGAGCTGTTACTTTTGCCTGAAGGAAACGATTCGCAGATGTGACAGCATAATCTGTTTTGAGTAGTGCTGGTCACTCGGGGCCGTCCTATTTTCTTTTTTTGGGGGTCTATCCTGGAAATCTTTGAATAAGTTGAGAAACAATACATGCACTGCATTTTAGCCGTCTTTCTGCTTCTCGGGCAGATTTTTAGCATAGAAGTAGGCGGGGGCAAAACTTGCGGTCAGCTTCGCTTAAGTTGAGACATCTTGTCATGAAAAAAAAAAAAATCAAAACTGATCGCAAAAATGTCCGGGGTTTTGTTTACTTATCAACTTCGAAGTGAATTAAATTCTTTTCATGAGTAATATTGCGTCTCATTAGACCATTTTACCAAAGCACGGGTCATTGTGCTGGGATGAAAAGTACCCTTGGAAATAACAAAAAATTAAATCATGCATGGGCAAGTGAATTAATAACTACTTACCAATGTCTCCAAAATTCATGGCGATCAGAGCATATTTGGCTTTCTTATAATCATTTAAAACGTTGCGTTTAAAAAAAAATTGCGTTCAGTATATATTTAATATACACTCACATTTGTATGCACGCCGGCCTACACCAACAGACACACCAACGAGCACACACAGTAACACGCATACAGAAACACGAACACACTCACATACACTTGCTCACACGAAAAAGAACACACACAATACACAAACACATTTTCGGACATTCGCATGCACAGAGGAACAATGTATTTGTAAATACAAATTGTTGATGTGCGCGCACACACACACACACACAGACACACAAACACACACACAGACACACAAACACACAAACACACACACACACACACACACACACACACAAACGTAAAATACACACACATACACACATTCACACGCACAGACACTCTC